TTTGGCTTAGGGGTTTGTTCAATTTGAAATTCACAGATCCTATCCTGACCTTTATGTGAATGGATTGTACAGAGTCTACATACTACTAAATTTCTGTTTATACTGGAAAGTGGAACCTTTATGAATTTGGAATAGGTACAGACTAATAAATCATTGCAAGGCCTATGAGTACCTGGACAGCGAGCTTAAGTTTGACACAAATAATTTCATGAAAATATTCTGTATCCATCTAGAAGTACTCTCACAGAGAACAGTCTGGATATGTATGCTAGAAGACAGGGATGTGATCAATGCTATAGCCAAGCTACCAAAGGAAACATTTGTCATCTAGGTCCAAGCTTTTGTCATTTGGTCTCCCTTGTTTCACTAGGATGTCTTTGCAGTTAAATTCTTTTAATTGGGCCAAAAATTCAAGTATCTTGAAGTAGCTAAATGTGGTCCCTGCACACATTAGTGTAATTATATATATTTGGTGGTTATGTTGAATATAGGCTCTTACTAAGCTAAGTTGATTTTGTAGAATCTGGAGATCTCCCAAAATTAGACTTTTGTAAGCTCGAATAATCTCTGTATTATTTGTTGTATTTGGAGTCTTTGAAATCTATTGAAGTTTTTTATTATTGAGATTACATGAAATACACTCACTAGAGTAGCTTCCTCTGTCAAATAATTTTAGAATTGAAATGACAATGTATCTTATAGCAAGTTGCTAACTTTATGCTGTATTGTTGCAGTTACAGGTGCATCGCGTGGTTATGCATTTGTTGAATATGAAACAGACAAGGAAATGAGGCGTGCATATGAGGTTGTGATTTGATTTCATGTACAGTCTATAGTTCTCTCTCTCTTTATTAAATCTTTCACCCTCTGGTACCCCAAATCATTTTGGGACCAAGGCTTTGTTGTTGTTGTTGCTATCACCCTCTGGTAACCAACCACTTTATCAACCTTGGACCCTTGTTTTGCTAGGGATAACTTTGCGTATATTTTAACCCCAAAATGAATAGGTCCATATTGAATTGCTGATGATGTTGAATAGCACAATCTAGTTGTTCACAATATTAGCAAACTCTGGCTTTTGAAACTTGTCAGTCACAAACTCCAAAGCTTGCGATCGAGATTGGAGGGAAGGGTTATATATATATAGGATCGTAGGGATAGCTTATGGCCTATAGTTCGTGGTTCATTATCCTTGGAAGTCCCTTTGATATGGAGTAAAGTGGATAGATAGTAAGGAATGTAAAGTGCACGTTAAATTTTCTGGTTTACTTTTCCGTAAATTTCCAAAAAAAATGTAGCTCTTATTTTTTTTTCCCTTTCCATGTAGGATGCACACCATTCTTTTATTGATGATTCTGAAATCATTGTTGATTACAACAGACAACAACTGATGCCTGGATGGATCCCAAGAAGGTTAGGTCAGTTTATTATCCTTCCTTTTCTTTTCAATACAGATGTAGGTATGTCTGTTAATTGATGAAGGAAATTTTGTGTCGTTTGACAAAATTCCTTAAACAAACAATTTTTTTTTTCTAACTAAACCCTATTAAGAATTTATAAGTCTAGCTCCAAGTTGGGAATTGATCCACAAGGACTAAGGGATGTTGATATGAATCAAGTAGAACAAGTTGGGAAGCGTCAATTGCCAACTAAAAAACTTTAAAGTAAAAATAAGATAAACTAGTAAGATAAAGGATTAAGCATGGAGCTAAATCAAAATAATACAAGAAATCAAAGGAAATGATTAAGAGAAGTTATTATAGCTTGATTAAATCTTAAAATTTGATTACAAAGCTTCTTAAAGTATTCTAATGATATGTTTCTCTCTGTAATTAATCAAATCTCAAAGCGATCCCTATTACAAGAGGGCCTTGAGCCTTAAGTAGAGCCCCCAAAACCTAAAATTTGAAGTTCACCTGAACTAGATTGTAGGTTCAGGCGTTCAGCGAAACTTTTTAGAGCTTTATTTGGAACTGGTCTATTTGGGAGGCTGTGATATATGTGCAGGCAAACTTTTCTTAGTTCAGGACTTCAGGCGGACTTTTGCAAATCTCCTTTTCTATATCTTTTTTTCTTCAATTTTGCTTCAAGTTTGATAAAATTCTCTCCAAATGCCGTATAGTCATTAGCAAATCATCTAGAACATGTTAGGAGATACATGAGAGCACAAGACAAAGGTTAGAGCCAACATAGGACCAGAGAGATCAGAAGAAGTAAAGGAACTAAATCATGTGAAAAACAAAGGAAAACAACTTTAATCACCCTAAAACTTCCTAATTCTCTAGCTTATGAGCAATGTAAATAACGCTCATCACTAATTTGACTTAGTTTCTATTCTGTTACAGGAGGAGGGCTTGGTGGTAAGAAAGAATCTGGGCAACTTCGTTTTGGCGGACGAGAAAGACCATTCCGTGCACCCCTGTATGCCCTTAAGTTTTTCTTTCAAATGAGAAAAAAGTGGAGAATATTGAATCTTATATTCTTATGATTTGTGGATCTCTGCTTTCCCCTTCCAAATTCTTCTTTTTACAAATTGGACTGTGCAAATGTTGTTTGATGGGTTTATTTTTTTGATTTTTATTTTTACAGTGGACTCTTGATATGCTTTACTCTATATGCTTTTGTGCCTTTACTGTCTGCCTGCTTTCTGTTATTTGGCCTCTGAAAATTAGTTAAGGGGAGCGTACTGATTTTATCATAGAAAAAACTCCAATTCTCGTCTCTTATTCTGTGGCTTTTGGGGGCCTGGGAAGAAGAGGGTAGAGTCAATAAAGGCAGTGGAGCACTAGCAAAATTGTTCTTCTGCAATTGTTGAAAGAGAATGTCATTACAAATAAAAGCCTAACTTCTTGGCCTTAATGATTTGCATATCTTTTGGCTGTTGAAACATTTATAGCTATTGTCTCTGACTCTCTGAGGATGAACAATGTTCAGCTCCATCTTTAATGTTAGTTTATCGAAACTTGTCAGGTAGTCTTCTGTTCTTCCTTTTGCAATTCCACATTATCTGAAGAATTTGAGGCCTCTGGTTTTTGCTCCAGTGAGTGAAATTCCCCATATAGATGTTTCGTATACCAGGTTAACAATGATAAAGTTGGTAGTGTAATGCTCACTTGTAAAGTTCTAGTTGAAGTCCTCCACAATTAAATGCTTGCTGATGTCCTGCTTTGATCTGTAAAGTGATTGGGATTTGTAGTAGTTTGCAAAACAATCTCAGACTGAATATTATTTGTATCTAAATGAGAGAAAGGAAACTGTGGCATTGTCTCATGTTTAAATTTTGAATGATGTGCATGCACGTAAGCTAATAAACTTTCTCATGTTTACTGATGTAATTTCTTGATGCAGACGACCTATACCCTATGATGATTTGAAAAGGCTTGGTATTCCACCTCCACCAGAAGGTAGATATATGTCACGTTACCAGGTACATGTTACAGTTTCCTCGTTGTCTATGATTATCCTTCTCAGCAACAACAAACAAATCTCTTATATTCGTCTGGCAACCAGCAGGGTCTAGATATGGGGTAGACCATACTGTAAGATTTTATCTGTGGGAAGTGTGAATTAAGGAACTGGTTTTCTGGGGGGAATACTGACCAGGGAGCAGTGGGTGATGACTGATGAGTATCTAAATTATGTCTGCCATCATACACTCAATGAACTGAATGAAGCTAATTTTATACCATCTTCTGTCTAGCCTTTTACCTCTTTGCATTATTGTCTAGCTAATTTTATACCATGTGTTTAGTCTCTCTTTTAGCTGGAGTTAATTATAGGGCTTACTCTGCGACACTACATTGATTTTACTAATAATCTGATTGGCTTTACATATTGTCAGATTCCATCACCACCTCGTAGGAAAAGGAATTCTGAAGAGAGAGAAACATCACTATCACCATCACCATCACCATATAGGAGGAAAAGGAAATATGAAGAGAAAGAAACATCGCCACCCAGAAGGATACGACATTCCGAAGATTGGGAAACATCATCAAGTAGAGAGAAGAACTCCAAACATTCGGAGACATCATTTAGGAGGGAAAGGGACTCTGAAGATAAGGAAGCATATTCTCCTAGGAGGAAAAGGAGCCCGGAAGAGAAGGAAAGCAGAAGGGATAAGCACTCACACAGGCACAAGAAGCATAGAAGACACTCCCATCATCGTGAAAAGAGATCTAGGAGTAGAGAAAAATTCATATGACAAAGTTAAGCTTTTGTTTATTAAACTTCATTTGGTATTAGTTAGAATTATTGTTTGTGTCGCGTTTGTGTATATATAAGGGGGCAACTCAGTTAAGGATTGGGTGCTGACTGCTGCGTCGAGAAATTAGTGAAGCAGAAGTAAAACTGGGGCACAAACGAGTATTTAGAATACTAATCAAATTAAAAACAAATTCCCAAAATATAATTATTATCCACATAGGATTAATTTTCTCCTTTAATTTGAAACTTTTTTTTTGGGTGTTTAGAGAGCGACGGAGATGAAACGATCCTAGGATTCGAAATTAGAAGAAAAACTTTAACCACTTAAACTATCCCTCACTCTCATGTATTCAAATCAGGTTCTTGCATGTAAAATTCTACTAAGAATATTTGTTAGCTAATAGCCAGCTATTAATAGAATAAATGACCACCATCAGTTTGCCCAATCTGGAAGCCGGAAAAATACAAATGTGAGGTAGAGTTAAGAGTTGTATCCAATTCAAGGTCCAAAATAGCTCCATAACCTGCATTTATTAAATATGCATATTATTGGTTGTGTATCCACCAGTCCACCACTATTTGAACAATTTTCCATATTAAAGCAGATCAGAAGTCTCACTGCCTCAGAATTATAAGCTTATCTTTCCTGTCTGTCAATAAGGTTACCATTTTCGGATTACAGCACCTGTTCGAAAAACCAAACCTGGCAATTAAGAAAAAATGACAAGTTGGAGAACACAGCAGAGTTCAGACCTGCAGAAACCTATTGTTACACATACACAGCTCCCTTGACATAAGAATTAAGTGACAAAACAACTCAGAAAGACAGAAATTTATACAATAAGATCCAGGCTAGGTTGGTCATAAAAGCGATCAAGTAATGTCGGAATGTGTTATCTTACAATGAATTATTACAGAAAAAAGGCAAAAGAGTTATGTACTATAAACCTGAAGGCGTCAGGGCAATAAGTTGGAACCATTTCTTGGCACCCTCATTATTTCCTTTTTTTAAAACCCCCACCTGAAACAAAAACAAGAGAGTATAAAACCCCCACCCGGAACAAAATGAAGAAATATAGCTAAACACCGGGGAGGCAAAGATATACATCTAATATAACAGTCAAAATCTGAGTTCAATTAATCTACCTCCCTATACATTTTCTCTCATCAAAGACTGTACGCTGCATCCTTACACAGTTACCCTCAACTCAAACCATCCAGCCTAGGTTTATGTTAAAAATCCCTAGATCTGTTGTCTCCTCCAAACCACGCAGCGCATACCATCCTGTTTCTTAAGATCTAGATTTAGATCCAAAATCCCTAAACTTAAATTGAAGCAATAGCTGATAGGAGAGACCAAGGAAATCTCAAGACTTTTGAAGCACTTATTGGTAACAAAGACAAAAGGAATAAAGGATCCCTAAAAGGCCTAACCAAGCAAGAGCTATAACTAGACCTGTCAATTCCCAACCCAACCCAACCCGACCCGATTCCAAACCTGTTTTACTGAGAGAGAACCTGAACCCAACCCGACCTCAATGACCTAAAACAGACCAGATTTGACCTATTTATCATAATTTGTAATGATCCAAGCAATCCAAACCACTTGAACCAAATGACCTAAAAAACCCAAAATTTGACCCAAACCCGACCCGAATTGACAGATATAGTTATAACCAACAAACATTAATCAAGTGGACTGCATAAAAAAAAGGAAGGAAAAAAAAAAAAAAACTAATTATTTTAGCTAAACTCTACAGGATCTGACTAGATATATCTAATTCTTTCGCAAAATGTAAACTTAACTCTACATACAACAGTCAATAAACTTACATATTTACAAACTGTAGGTCTAAACAACAAGATTAGAACATAAACAAGGTAAATCCTCACATAATAAACATTGTCAGCAAAACTATGCAAGGCTAACTTGTATAAATGTTCTCAAGGCATGTCAGGCACAGGTAACAAGCAGCAATTCTCGGGCAAAAGAAGAAACCCAGGTAGATCTCAGGAACAAAGATTGAGAAAACCCTAGAGTACCTCGAGTATGCCAATGTTCCTTATAGCAAGATGGCATGTCTCCTCAAGATAAGATTGGGTATTCAAATCAAAATCTTTACTCAACTGAGATCTACAGCGTGAGTTCAGCATGCAGATTCTTCTTTAACGACGACACTCTTGCCATTATGCTTCTGAGCAGCCCTTCTTTTTGATTGTATAAGGTTAACATACTCAGCTATGATAACATGGAACTTGGGAGCAAGTTTACTAGATGATGATACATTTAAACCTGCTTTCTTCAAGGCATGTTTAACATCTTTCTGAGCCTTTGGAAAGTGGATGTTACACAGTGAGGGAACGGTAGATTTCAGTATTGGCCTCCCACATAGTATTGGTCCTTGCTGTGCACTGAATATATACAAAAATAAAAATTCATAAGCATCACTTGATTAATTGGAATTTGTTATAAAGTTCATAATACTGATAGATATAACAGCTTCGTAAAGATGCTAGATATAACAAAATAAATAGTTAAAGAGAACTGTTCATTTGACAAGCATACAAACCCCATCTAGTAATGTAATTCCAAAGGCACTTCCACTGTCCAAATATTAGTCATGCTTATACGTAGTTTTAATTCATCGAGTAATGTGACAATTAAATCCGAATGGAGGGGGTATACCCAAAGATGCTAAATAAAATGTTTCTACGTTCCTCCATACAATTAATACAAGTTGTCATTTTAGCATCACTAATTTATTAAGGCCTGATCGTGAGGTTAGGAAGGAGTTGCCACCATAATGGGCCCATCAATGACAGGGGCACAATAATTTAAAGCCAGATAGTTTTAAGAAGGTTAGAAAGGGAGGAAAATATATATAGCTAAATGCACTCCATCAATTTTAACTCTCCACCTTCCCTCTCTTTTTTGGTGGTTTGAAGACACATCATACACCAAGGTACAAAAAAATTTCATTTCCATGTATCAAATAATATATGCTGCATTTATTAGAGATGTATATCACCTTTCCTAAACTTTAAATAAGGTAACACTACTTTACAAAATATTTCTCCTTTGTTTCTCTTATAGTGGTACAGGTTATATTCAATGTGTAATTAAACATCAATTCCGACAAATTTCTGTTTGTATATCAATCTATCAATTGAAAAGGCATTGCTTTTCATGAAATCCTGCCAAGTCAACCCACCATCGCACTGGCATGCCACTAACATGAGACATGACTCTGCATCATAATTTGACAATTCTCAAACCTAAAACAGCTTGTATAAAGTGCAATATTTATCACTCAATTTGGGTATACTAATTGCAAATATATCAATAAGCACACTAAAATCCAGAATGCATAAAGAAAATGAGTAAATTCACGAACTTGACATTGCTTCCCCTAATACTAATTTCACTGCAATTACAACAAATTTTGTTCATCATCTCTTATTTGTCTCTCTTCTTTACATGACTAAGATCCTGGCATGGGATCAAAAACTAGTTATGATCCTAACACATTATTTGGGTGGGAGGAAATTAAGAGAAAGGAGGGAAGATTACCGTTTTGTTTGGATAGCAAAGAAGGAAGGAAAAGAAGGGGAGGGAAAATGGAGGAAGGGGAGGGAAAAGAAAGGGAGGGAGAGGTGAGCTCTATTTTCCCTCCAAATCTCTCCAATTTTGGAGAGATTATGGTTATTATAGAGAGAGGGAAAATGGATCCCTCTCTCTCCTTCCCTTTCCTTCCCCCAATCTTTTACCTAAACAAGAGATTTTGTCCCCCTCCATTTCTCTTCTCTTCTTTTCCTTCCATTTCTTCCTATCCAAACAAAGTGTACAAGAAAGAGAGAGGGGGACAAATCACCTTGTTTGGATAATGGATTGAGGGATTCATTTAATAAACATTATCCTTCCAAAATTGGAGAGATTTGGAGGGAAAATAAAGCTCTACTATCCCCCTCCCTTTTTCTTTCCCCTTCCCTTCTTCCTATTTCCTCACCCTTCCTTTCCCTTTTAAATTGTTATCCAAAAATGCTGTAGAAGTTAGAAACTTCGATAACATAGCACGAATAATATTCCCTAAACTATGTGCATACACTCTAAAATCCTAACACAAGCAAACCTCGTCCACGGTTTCATCCAAAGCCTATAAAATGTCAAGAACGAGCCTTTTCACCAACATAATTAGCTAGTTAAAAACCATCACTTCAACTAGTGCAACATAATTAGCTAGTCAAAATCAACAGCTTCAGCATTACGCATCCGAAAATTCATACCATAACACTATGATCACTAATTCACTTCAATCATCATACTTTTGCCAACAAATTGAACAATCAAGAACCAAATTAAAACCCAATTACGAAATCAAATAAATCAACATAATTAAAAAAAAAATTGAGAAGAGGAAAGAGAATTACATCTTAATAATATAGTTGCAAGCCTTGTAAAGATTCTGCTGAGGATCAGACAATATATGCAAATAGCAAAAGCTAGTCAAAGCCATAGCCTTCAACCTACACGTAACATACGCACACCGGTTATTTCCAGTCACCTTAAATTCAGCCCCACTCTCACCCCCAAACCCTAACCCTAATTTCCCGCCACCGGTCCCTGAAACCGGGCAATTGCTATGATTATTCGTAACACTACTACTATTAATAACATTATTATTCATATTGTTGGATTCGCCACAACCCTCGGCATTGAACCCGGCAAATTCCCGATCACCACCACCACTTTCTCTCTCATCCTCCTCTTTGCAAGGACTAATGCCGTACTTCCAGTAGTACTCCCTGTAATGAACCCTAAGATCCTCCATTAAAGCCCAGTAATGGTCTCTGTAAACGCCGGAGAGTCGACGTACACCGTGGAGACGACGGCGGAGGAGTTCCTGGTGAGTAAGGTGGGAGGATTTGGAGAGAGCGAGGTCGTCCATTGAAGGAGAGAGAATGTCGGAGTTATCGGAGGTGATTGAGGTGTGAAGCTTTCGTTTCTTGTTAATGGCGTCCGAAGGTTTCTTCAATGGCGGATGGTGTGGAGGTGGCGGCGGTTGTGGAGGAGAGAGAATGTCATTTTTGGTGAGTTTTGAAGAGGAGGCCATGGAAGTGTGGAGGAGAGAGAAAAGGGAGCGGCTGTTTGGGGGGTTTTAAACTGTGGACTGAGGGAGTGTGTAGGTGAAGGTTTTCGAAGTTCGTGTCCTAATTAGTAATTACCGTGTTTGCTTTTTATATCGGGTTTTATACACTCGGGTTTACTATGGTTAATGGTACATTCGGTTTTACTATGGTTAATTATACACTCGGGTTTACCATGATCAGTGATACATAACATTTGGTTTTACTATGGTTAATTATATATTCGGATTTACCATGGTTAATGACATGCCGTAAATTGACCTTTGAAATTTGTTGTATATGTGGAAAAAAAAAAGGGAAACTAAGTTAAATAGGCAAGAATATGCTATGAATGACAACACTTTGGCACCAACAAGAGTTGGTTCAGCTATCAAAAACCAAGAGTTGGTTCAAATGGTAAGCAACTAAATGTCACTTAAGGAAGGTCTCGGTCTCGGTCTCGAAGCTCAGTGTGTAGAAAATCTTGTTAGAAGATTCATCCACCATAAGCCAAGTATGCGACTCGGGTCGGATTTCGGACGTAGTTGGAGCTAAACTCCGGTGAATAGGATGGACATCCTATAAAAATAACACTTTGGTGCTAGGGATTGTTGAAAAAGACATGAGGGAATAAAGAATGTAGTGTTTGAAACTATGGGCTAAGTGTAGGTAGAGGTTTTTGATAATTGTGTCATAATTACACTGTTATTTTTGTAAGTTGGGTGCATGTTATAGTTTTGATTTACCATCGTTAATGTATATTGACATGTGAACTAATTTTTTCTTTGAAAAAGGTGAAAAAGCGTCAAATAAGCAAGAATTAGCACTGAATGGAGACTCATTTTCGTTATAGAGAGATTACTGAAAATGATGCAAGAGAATAGAAAATAAAGTAAATTTGGATCATCTTTTTTGTTATAGAATAGAATGAAAGTCTTAATAAATTGAGGAATGATGTTACTATTTTTATTTAGTAAAATACTCAAAATGGATGATTGACTATTATCACCTTAGAAATAATCTCAAGAAATTTCTTTGTTTATACATATTTTTATTTTTCAATTAGATTACATGTTAATTAATAGCATAATACTTCATACTTGTATAAGCATTTATATCTTTGTATGCACATTGAGATCTTTTTTTTTTTTTAATAAAAAACCTATTTCGATTCTAGAATAATATGTTTCTATGACTTTTATTTATTTATTTATAATAATTTTTTTTTACATGGAAAAGAAGCATATCGATAATTAATTCACTTCATGTATAGGGAATTCTTTGATGTTTCTATAGTTTTTATCTTAGTGTCTATTTACATTTGAATTTACCATTATTAATGACGTAAATGAGTAAATTACTTTTGAAATCTTTTTTCTCTTTGAGAATCTTTCAAATTGGCATAAATTAGCTTTGAACGAACAAGTCTTTTATATTTTGTTCATTTACAAATTTTCAACAAAATATTTTCTATAGGTATAAATAAAAAAAAAATATTTAGAGAACCACAAGGGCGGCAATGAGAATCGATTCCAGATCTCTTTAAATTGATAGAGAAGTTCTAACCACTATCCTTGACTCTCAAATAAAACATTACTAGATGAGGCTCGTGCGATGTACGGTTTATTTGAATTTTCTAAAATATTTTTTTTGTATTTATGTCATAAAATTTGTTACATAGATAAAATTCATAATATCAAAAGATAATATTTTATATTTAATTAATTTAAACTTAAAAATATGATTCGCCGCTTGCGTGACATTTGATTTAATTAATTCTAAAAGATTAATAATCTCTTATTTAATTGGATATCACTAAAATTTATTATCCTACATGGCGCGTTAAGATAATTAAATCATACGTGGCTCTCTATCACTAAAATTTATTATACTAGTTTTGTGTCCGTGCGATGCCCGGATTGTTTATTAAATTTTAAGATATATTTTAATCTATATGTCAAATTTTAAAATATATCATTGATACAAAATTAGTTAGCAATTGACGTATTTTTGTAACGATTTAAACTTGCAGACATGTAATGACTAATAATAATATTGGTGAAAAACATTTCTTGACCCTTTCTGAAATGACTCGTGACCCGACCTGATTAACAGGTCTACACACAATAATAAAATTATATTAGATTGTGAAGTATATTATTTTAATTGATTAGAATATATTATAACCCATGGATGTGGTACATTTTGAACTAATTCCTTCGCTCTAAAAAAATTATGATACAAAAAACAAATTTATATGATAATTTATGAGAGTTGTAATCTAATTATTTTTTGAATAAAATTATAATTCAATTTGTACATATGACTTCATATTGGTACTTTATCAAAAATAAAACTCTAAATTAACAATTTTATCCTAAAATTATATCCAAAGTTGATTGAAAATAAAATTCTAAACTAGCTTTTTTATCCTACAAATTAAATTTTATATAACTCTATCCTATGTGGCACGATACTTGGCAAAAAGTTTAGCTTTATATATATATATATATATATATATATATATATATATATATATATATATATATATATATATATATATATATATATATATTAGATTTTAAAAAGGGAGATATTGTTTTCATCAATTAAATCAAATATTGTCCAAAAAGAAAAAAAAAATATAATAATAATAATAATAATAATAATAATAATAATAATAATAATAATAATAATAATAATAATAATAATAATAATAATAATAATAATAATAATAATAATAATAATAATAATAATAATAATAATAATAATAATAATAATAATAATAATAATAATAATAATAAATTATAATAGGAGCATATGATGCAATCTTGCCTAAATAAGTTTAAAAAAAAAGCTTCAATGTCATGATCTATTAGCTAGTAGAACTTCTCGTTTATATTCAGAGGAATAAATAGTTCGTAAGGAAAGAAGTATTACCAAGTACCAACCTCATTCAAAATAAAAGTTCTATCATTGTCTCAATTTCGATTCAGACTCAGCTTTTATTTAAACTTTATTGTATGGAAAAAAAAAAAAAAAAAAAAAAAAAAAAAAAAAAGCTGATGACAATCCTCCAAAATACATTAGTATCAGCCTCCCCCCAACAATTTGAGCTCACTGTTGCAGATTAGCAGGTATCATCAGAGTATCAGACGCACACATACATGGTACAAAAGAAAATATTAAGTATTACACAACTATTAAATGGAGCACATTTAAGCATTAGCATTAAAAAAAATAAAACCTGGATATATTTTTCATCAAAATGTTGTACCTTACAGACTTACAATAAACTAAAAGCTAAATGTGAAGGCGCATGATGGAAACTACAATAAAATGTCAACAATAGAGCTACAAAATGAGGTAATATGAAGAGGGGCAAAATTTATCTGCACTTAACTTACGTAAAAGAATGTTCAAGAATTAAGTATTGCTAGCTGTGTGTGGTGACGAGCAGGGATCGCAGAAAAGCTAGCCTGCCCAGGATATGACTAGCCCCTGAGAATACACATTAAACAGGTACCTCAGATCCCAAATTCCAAATTCAATTCACAAATGCTGTATACATCTATATGGAGCAGGAAATATATGATCTGTTCATTCTGTCTTATTCCAGCTTCTGCAATTAATGGCCACTGTAGTCCAACTTTTACTTGGAAATACTTATCCATTTTATACACTCGCAAGAACGACTGCAATCAAACTGCACAGAAAATCAAGTGTGAGATTGCAGAATAAATGTCATCAACAATTGAAACAATATTGAAGAAATAAAAGCTGAACTGATTTATACACAGAAATTAACCTTATCTGGGAAGAAGTGGTTGTCTATCATCATGATCTACACGATGACTAGCCTGAAAAAGAAATTTCAGAAATATTATTGAATTGCATATGAAAAAGGTATGAAGTTTTTTAGGAGGGGGGGGGGGGGTAGTTTAGAAATATGTAATCACACGCAAAAGTACAAACCTCATCATTAGCTCCAGCAGCCATATCTATGAAGGGGTCCTTCGACCTGAAACATAACCAATTAAATCAGATCCATTCACGAATTACCTTGCTCAACAGCCAAAAGACAACAACTCACCTGATATTGTTTGGTACGTCCATCAATTCTACATTGTTTTCCTGTTCATCTTTCACTTTTGAAAGAGGGGAGAAAAACTGTAAAAAGTGAAAAAAATAATCAGTGAGATGAAATGGTTCTTCATAGCAATACCCTCTCATATCCCACTTCATTTTGTTTCGTTTACCTGATGCATTGAGATGAAAACTATAGAAATCCCCAACATAAAGTTAATTGTTAGCCTATGACCAAACAGTGCAGCAGAAGCAAAACCCGTAAAGATCGTGGCAACAGTTGAAGAATACTTCTTCAAAATTGTGTCTGGAAAAAAGAAAAGAAAAACAATTTGTCAGCATAAGACAGAAATGATCATGTTCTAAACTGTAAAACATCTGCTACAGAGCTACAACAGCAATGCCCAGATTATAAGACAACAAGTCCTCCATCAAACAACAGGGAGATGCCAACAACCGAACACAATGTAACTAATTAAGCAGCAAAACAAATTCCAGAAATGCTTGCCTGCATATTTAAAGAAGAAGGAAGACAAGATTCCTTGAGCTGCATTATTGCATATTAGAAGCATAGTAGCTTTTGAATGTCCCTCAAGAATGTTAAAGCTGTTTGGGCCTGAAACATAAAATACAAATCCAAATTTTAGAGATGCAAATCATTATTTGTGATTGGGATGAAAACAGGCATCATATGCAAACTATCTCTAAAATGATATCATTCTTTGCGATTGGGATGAAGGTATTCAAATTCCATGACATCATTTACTAATTTTCTCCAGATCAGTTTTTTGGTGATTCTCCATGAGTCCATTCTATAATTTTTGCAGCCTTGCTATATACCCGGTCCCTTTATTTCCAACAAAGAGAGCACTTTTTCCAACAAAGAGAGCACTTTGTTCTCATTAAGAGGCTAGACTATTACTAAAACTGACCTCAACCTACTGTCTGTTTCTAGTGCAGACCTAGCACTCCAGAAGTAACACTTAAAAATTCGTTTGGCTTAAAACAGATATGGTCACCATGGATTTGATACTAGTCTCAAAATCTATCTCACATATTCAAGTGCCAGTTCGTGATGCAATTGTATGTGATCATGTTTTTTCATCCGCACTCCAAGAAGATACAAGTCAAAGGTAGTTAAAGGTAATGGTTCACAAATTCCTAAAACTTGTATAACAAATGCAGAAAGCCCAAATTGAAAGCTAAATGTTATTCTTTGCCAAAAGAAAAGGCTAAGAAGTTTAAGAGCCTAATAGTCATACCTTTCACCAAAGCAATTCCCACTATGGCCAAAAGGTTGAAAATTGCACCATATCCATATAAGAATAAGTTCTGTCATAATATCAAAATTGAGGCAAAAATAAGTATCAAAGTAACATTGCGAGGGAATGTCAAGGAATCAAATATGCAAAGGCAGAGCATTCAATATGTTCAATGTGCCCTTAATTAGTACTGCATCAAAACTCAAGAGCTTAAAAATTAATTAAGATTAAAACCAGAGAGCGGGACAGGAACATTATTCTTTTGCTTTCTCTTATATTCTAACATCACGGCAAGGTTTTTAACACAAAAAGTGCAAATAGAAATACAACAGATATGCAATGACGCCTCTGTAACACCAGCTTTGGAACTTATATAATTTTATAATACTCAGGTCCTGATGCTAGTCCCAGATTGAAAATGAACTTTTCGAGGTCATGTAAATTGATTCTTTCATACGTAGTATGTTTTATTCATTTTCATTATATAGTCCAAGGGATATGGACAAAAATATAGTCGAAACATCAAGCATATGCATTCACATTTAACTTTTAACCAATGAGTTTTCTGGTACTATTTGAAGATGAACCAAGCTTTAAGCAGCTTATAAGCTTTAAGCCTTGGATGTTTCATTACTAATGTCTCAGATATAAACTGATAGCAAGTTATAGGAAAAGGAAAATCCACAAAGGGAAAAAAGAAATAGAATTACCTGAAGGTATATGCTCGTTTCATATTGGCTCTTCAAAGCATACTCATTAAATACAGAGGCCAAAGATGGAACTGTAACCTGCAGATTGAGTTTATACATAAGCATCAATACTATTTATTTACAAACCTAAAAAGGAAAATTCAAGGAGAAAACATTCAGAAATTTGTGACTTACAAAGATCAATGTATAGATGTATGCTCCTGTTGCAACTGGAAGTCCCAATGCAGAATCCTCAGGTCCGGAAGGACCAGAACGCATTTGATTGACACTAATGCCTATGAGTAACAGAGCAAGAGCTTCCCACTACAAAAACAATAAAAAGGTATACAACATTAAAGATTAGTATTCATCCATGGCATAAATGAAGTGAACTACTTTGTATTGTAATAATTTATAAGCTCAATATATATACTGGATTTATAATCCATTATCACTCACCTGAATAATAGAAAACTTGCGTCTCATTACCATCCTTAGCAGAACAGCAATTACCAAAACCTGTTGTGAGGACAAAGATAAGATACAGTGACATGTGAATGCAATAAAAGCAAACATAGTGACATGTAAAAGCAAGTAAGACATTAACCCATCCTCTTCATCACAATTCCAGATTTCCAGGGGTGTAACAATAGAAACAAAAAGAATAAGACCAAAGGAGGAAAGAAAAGAATCAAAGAAGGATGGAGAGGGAAAAAAAAAGGAAGGAAAAGCAACTCCAGAACCAAACATCCAAGTCAATTAAGTAAACAGTTAACTGTTGTGCTGAATTATCACTAAGCCAATTAAACCCTGTACATGCGCAATTTTCAATACTCAATATTTGATTTATTGACTTCTTCCTTTCAATGTCAATGCGAGAGCTAGGTTTCGAAGAAGATACAGTTCTTTTGTAAACTAGTATACTACTATCCTCCCACCCAAAAATGCGCAAGTTGGTTTAGGATCACTGCAAATTCCCTTTTTCCTAGGACCCCTTTCAAGTGTGTTTGTCTTATAAAATCACATACAGCTTCTGGTAGATAACATACATTTCCAACAAGAAAGAAAAAGTGAACCAAAAGATAAGGTCAAAACAAATGCTAAACTTACCTTCAAATTACTGAGCATCTTGACAGTTGCTGGATTGAAATATAACTGTACCAAGAAATACCGAGTGAGCATTTATATATGACACTATTAAAAGTAGAAAAACACAAGAAACCAGCTAAAAGATTAAAGTGTTACAGCTACGCACATCAGCATCAGATGACATACAATGATCACACATTTAAGATAACAATGGAGTATGCAACTAGACTGCAAAGAAAGGTAAAAAAGGAACAAGATGCAATGAATGGACGTGAATCAACAGTAAAATACTATGCACCCTATTTTTCAGCAATAAAATCTTCATGATGTAATGAATATTATGTATTTTACTTCCTTGAATTGGAGAGCATCTCCAAATGAATGATAGATTTTGGCTAAATTGCATAGCAAGTGCTAAATTTTGATACGGGACATTTATGTCTATATACTTCAGGCACTATCACTGTCAGATCTCAGAAATTTTTGGATTTACACATCTATGATCTCCACTCTTTTACCCTCTTATCTCTCCCCGTTTTCCCTTATACTTTTTTTTTCAGGAGAACTATCATGATTATCATCACAATAACCCACCCTATCTAGAATGAAATGGCATTCTAGAGAGACTCAAACCTAGCCTTGTAATTCAATTGTTCTAGCTAATACATAAAGTACTTATGCTCGCAGGAGGTTATACAAATACTACACCCCTGTTTTGCAGAAATATGGCCGCCGGACTAATCCAATATCCAATGCACCAAAAAGATGGTTCCATTAAAGGATGGCAGCTTACAATTGAAGGACAAGAAGTGGCTTATTGCACCATGGAAGAAGCAAAACACACCAGGTAACAGTACCCAACAACCAGATTGGATATCTGAACCTGCAGCTTGAGGAAACACTGAGTTTCCACAGACAGCTCCCCAGTCCCCACAAAGTTTGAGACTTTTGAGGCCAATATATCAATCAATATTTACTGGAGTTATCCCTTAAAGATGGCCAAGTTGCCCAATTTTCTTAATTCACTTTGAAAAATTTGCTACCACCCTGTTCAATAGAAAGTAATGTTCCATCTCTCATTAAAATAAACTAGAAAGTTGGAATTATAAGGGATTGTTGCGATGGGATTGAACAGGATAAAACATTGAGTAATTAGGACACAAGATGGGATTGAAAATCCAGCACGGGCATGATTGCAATGAGCACTACAACAGTATATCACACTCACAGATTCCATAACACAACATTGGCACAATCTACATATGACATACCTGCATAATAAACTTGAGATAGTTGTTAACTGCATATAGAAGTGCAGGAACAGCCAGAAGCACATTGTTGCGAGCAGCCTGCAAGAGGAAAGGTGTATGTTGAGAACACGGATACATGTAAGTTAGCAAGAGACACCTAGAAAACAACCAAATCAAGCAGCAGCATCCATTCGCAGAAAGGATGCTACTTAAGAATTTTTTTAATAGTTCAATCTGAGGGGAATCTTTGCAGCATTGCCAGCATTAAGCATGTTAATTTACACAAACATCACCATATTTAATGATGGTTAAACTACATTGATATAAGGCTGTAATTATATCAATTTGATAGTTGTGTTTAAAAATATAACAACAAAGTGATATATTTTCATATGATACTTCCAACTTCAGATCGTTTCTATTTTGTAATCATCTTATGACAGGCAAATATGCTTCAAAGCATATGCCAGCAATGAGTATTACATGTGTTCATATTCACCCAGTAGGTTTCAAAACCTGGCCATTCTAAAATCCGACCAGAATCCCAGACTACATATAGCTTCCCTTGTGAGAATAAAGCAACCTAGGTGAGGACGTGAGGTACACTGAAATAAGAGTCCAGATTTTAATGAACATATTTCCAATAAATACAGGAATAAAACTTCAGATAAACTTCCATCTTAATCATAGATACATATTTGTTAAACTCACTGGTCTTTCAGAACAAAGGCATATGGTTCTGTGAAGAGCATAGGCTAATGTAGACTGTTTAGTAGTGATGGCAAGCATGAAAAGAGTGACATAATCAGGAAAAAAAAAAAATTACCTGAACAAAAGTGGAGATAGATAGAAGAGGTTTTTCTCCCACTTTCTGATTTCTGGCCTGCAAACATCACCAGTAGCCAGAGCAGATAGGTCAACAACATGACAACAAAAATTTCATGGAGAAAAGACGAGAGAAGAGCGATTAAATTTCAAAGTAAAATACAGTGCTACTTAATTAGTTATGGCAAAGTGTTGCTCATAGACATCCAAAAGATCAAAAGTAACTTAGTTCTTCTTAAATTTTGAATCCGAGTCCAGCATGAAAGAAATAAAGCTACTACTTGTTTAATTGTAGCAATGTAGCCCCAAAATTCTATACACTCCTATATTCTTTTCATTATCATCTTGAAGCAAAAGTACTCAATTAGTAGCTTTATTATCCATAGTTCCACACAGCCAAAAAAACCTAGACATCCTACAACTCTCCAGTTAGTATTTAGTTAGATTACATTTTTTTAACATTTCAGCAAAGAAAATCATTCAAATTGGTGAGTACTGAGAATTCCTCTGGCGAAAAGAAAAAAAAAAAAAAAAAACTATTGTTTCGTCTATCTTCTTTGTCATGAAATACTCAAATGTAAGATTTTTAGTCAGAATTCTAAATCTGCAAATCGATCCATCATGACTGTCCAAAGATCATATATGCCTCTTCGTTTTAAGATGTCTTTCATGTAATTTCCTATATCCCACCAGGTTAACAAGAGAAACAATTGTGGTCTACCTTGTCTTGAATATCATTAAATAGAGCCAAAGGACCTTGACTGCAACTACATACTTATTCCATCTTATACCTAGTCTACGATCACATCTCTTCAATATACAAAATCTACCCAATTTAAGAAGCATAAGTCATTTTAGAGAGCCCTGAATACAACAATAACCTACTATGTAATTTTTGGTGGGATTTAAAAGAGGTTAACACATATAAAGTCAGACTTATGCCCAGTGTTACTAATTCGTGGTGCACTTCAATACGTTGAATGCATTTTACTACTTAATGATGTTAATTTGGCCCAAAAGTGTTCCACCATACCAATATGCGCATTCCCAATACCCAATTTGCATGGGAAGAGAAGGGGGGGTGGGGGGGAGGGAAGAGTGGATCATTACATAGCACTAATTGAACTTATACCCCATGCTAAATGAAGGCTAGGCTAGTACGAAGTTTCTGTATCTAGGGTGATATGCAATCAAACTCAAGGTGATATCTACAGCAGAAAGCACATTAAGGATAACCATCAAGTGAACTAATCAAGGCAATTTGGGATGTCAGCTTAAGCAAAGCACTTTGCCCATGTAACAAAATACATATATGAGACCAAAATGTTTTGTATCTCTTTCACCCAGTGAATTTCAAAAAAATGTAAAGAATGGGAGTAAGGCAGAAGAGGCGGGGTGAAAAGACCTGAACAGAGCTTGACATAAAATTTCAACAAAGTAAAAGTGACGGAATTTAAGTTTACCTGAATCAAAAGCATAACCATTGCAAAAATAACCTTCATAACCTCAGTCAAGAAGTTGACGCTGACTGGACTAAAATTGAACTTCCCATCCACCTTGGACATGTAAACCAGAACAGGCTAGCAAGAAAAGAGAAATGACACACATGTCAATTGTAAGCTTGAAGCTGCTAGTACATTCAAATAATCAAACAGTATAAACCGCTAGTTGGATGAGCAACTTAAATAAGCGAGGGCAATAAGTCTTCACATATCGCTCAAGCTTACAGACTCAGATCTAGCATCAAAAAAACAGATTGGCTGAGCCTGCTGACGATAATATGGTATAATTATGTCGTTTTTCAGTGTGTTTTAATTGAAGTGTCTAAATCAACCACTCTAGTTTCGAATGAAATAAAAAATTCAAATTACACCAAACTTATAGTCTTTTTACCTGCAAACCAACCAGAAAACAATCTCCAACAACCAAGAGAACGTTAAGAACACGTTGCTTCGAAGAAACCTTACTCCTATGCCGGTCATAGGCCCTTGACACGGTCTTGGAGGTCGGCGACATTATTTTTGAGTGACACACACTACATTCTATCACTCCGTTCTTCATTGCTTCAAAACTTTCTAATGGAGCCTCAGCAGCTAAATCAATAATAGCAACAACATCAAATAAACAATGTCAATCAATCTATCTGAATTCATTTCACAAACTTAAATCCAACAATAGCAAATCACATAATTTATAACAATTAAATCATAAACAAATCACTATTTCATTGATTTACTTGAAGTTAAAAAGTTTAATCAGATCCCATCAAGAACTAAACTAAAACTCCTGAAAAAACCCCAATGACAACAATCAAATCTTACATTATAGCAAAATTCCAAATGCACCGACACCCAAAATCAATCAAATCCTCAAAATTAAAACTGAAATCAATAAAATCACAAACAAATTCCAGATCTTGCTAAACTAGAATTCAAAGCTTAATCCTTTCTTCCACAATTGAACAAATTTAAACCTAAATTTGGTACAAAATCAATCAAAAAACCATTACCTCGATATATAATTATCGCCCAGGAGCTAAAACTCCGAAATCAAATCAGTCAACTAACCGGAAGTAAAAATTCCGGTCAGATCGCAACTTTATTGCCAGAAATCGAGAAAATTTCCGATCAGACAACAAAAATTATAGGGTTTTCAGCAATTGGGTAATGCAATTGAAATCGAATTGAATAAAATTGAAATAGAATTGAATTGAAAATGGTGGAAATCCGACCGACTACAGAGGAGAGAGAGAGAGATGCGTAGAATATGTAGAGAGAGAAAACTCGTGGGATGTTCAATTTGGTTAAAAGCCCACTTCTTCTTCTTCTCTTTTCCTATTTTGCTTAGAATTTAATTCATCGTATCTGTAACACTCATATTATATGACCAAATTTTAAAACATAATTAAATACATTAATGATTTTGTAATGCATTTTTATATTTATACGTGGATTCGGACTATGGCAAATTAATCAAATTTTGGTTGTTGAGTTCAACAACGTTTTGGTTTTGTGAATTAAAAATTCTAGAAAAGTTATAGAGGGAGGACGATTTAGATATTTTGTATTGGATCTGAGTCGTTAGATCATGTATAATTAATAAGAGTCGTTAGATCATGCAGATTTTATATGAGAAATTTGTTGTATAAAGTTTTGTTTAATGTTTTTGTTTGTTTATAGGATGGAGTATGAATACAACATTGTGTTTGTTTAGAATGTAGTTATAACTTTATAAAAAAAAAAAAAAGAGTTGTGATTAATGCTATTATTAATTTTAGAGTTAAAAAAGCAACTACATTAAACTTATGTGGTAAAAATGACAAAAGAATGTAAAAATTCAAATAGACGTCAAAAGATTAGTTGTAATTCGAACGTTACCACAAATTAAACTGATTCAAATGTAACAACACACTATTAGAATGGTTTAATAATCAAATTCATTTTGTTAGAGTGTGTCTCAAACATTAGAATTTTAATTGAGCTACTATTGTATTTTTATATTGTTATCTCTTGTATTTAGGTTTTTTTTAGGAATAAGACCTTCATTAAATAACCTTCACCTTCCCGATTTCTAAGTTTAACATACGTGGGTTAGACATTTCCTTACACCACCTTTTTTTTTTTTTTTTTAGTTTTTACAATATCTCTTACGTTTTCCACATTTATCTTGCACTCATTTATTTACCTTTTTATATTCTTTTTCGTACTTTTAACCACATTTTTTCTTACACCTACTAAATACAGCAATATTTTCACCAAATTATATTAATTTATGTGCAAAAAGAAACTATAAAGAACTTTCAAGAATTAAAGTTTTTTTTTTTTTTTTTTTTTTTTTTTTTTTTTTTTTTTTTTAATAACAAAGAACAAAGGTATTAAATAGCATCTATTGAATTTAAGATATTAATAATTAATGCTTTAGAGTTTTGCTTTCAACCTTTTCAATTCATATGTCATATTTTAAGGGTGGGTTCTTTTTTTTTTTTTTTTTTTTATCATTTCTCAAAATTTGTTATTATTAATGATTATGATGATATCATTATTGATATTTGATATCATTTTTTTCATTAATTTATATTTCTATATCAGTCATAAAATCATTGATATTATCATTTAATACATAGTATATAGATTTCATAATTAAATAAAAAAAAAAAGTTAATAGGTATTCTCTTGTCTCTTTTTGTTGTTCCTATTTTAAGTTCTCATGGTCAAACTTTAAAAATCTTGACAAAATATGATCATTAATACATACAATTATACACACTCCCTTTGTTCTTGAAAATTCAACTGACCTTGCATTTATCCGATCTCCCATGAACATCTTCAGGCATGAATATCTTTGATCAGCTTTTTATAAATGAAAATTGTAATAACTTTATATTTACAGAATTTATAATAAGGGGAATCTATTAAACTCTCCCGTGCTAATTTATTTTTAATGTGAAAATCATAGAATATGGTCAAAGTTATATTATTTTGACCACATGAATATAAGTAGGTCTAACTTTCAGAATGAAGGTATTATATATAGTCATGTGAAGTAATATTGCTATATTTGTTATAATGTATAGTTTTATAATATTAAATTTAGTATAGTTTCAGTTGATACATGATTATAAATCTACTATTTGAAGTAGCTTTATAGTTTTTCTATATTATTTAATTTATCATTAATTGTATATTTGAATTGTTACCCAATTATTGGTTCGAGCGTTGCCCCAAATCACTATAAATTTGTAAGTTTATAATTAAAAAAAAACACCAAATTTAAAAGGTTAATGTTCAACAATATTATATTTATAAATGAATAAAAATATAATAATAATAAATTTAAGAATAATATTTATATATTACAGAATAATACTTTGTGTAATTGCTTGAATGATATTGAATCTAGAAAATTAGCATTCAAGGAATCACACAACCATTAGTGTGTGAATATTGTCTCAATGTGCAATTATTGAGTAGTTGCATTATAAGGTGACACATAGTGCTCATGTGGCTCTAAGTCATATGGAAGGAACGGTGACACATTGCGGTATCATGTTGTCCCTTTGAGTTTTAATAATATTATAGATACTTACCTATTTTCTTTGTAGCATCATCATCTTCTTCTCTATTAACTTCAATCAATAATTGAGTTTTTGTTGTTGTTGATTCTTTAATTAAATCTGAAACTAAATTTTATAAGAGAAATGTAATATCATTCAAATTTCAATTTTGAATTTCATATCAAAATAATGTACATAATGATTATAGTTTGTACCTTTTCCTGTAGTAATGACACTTAAAATCGATTTACTAGGTGAATTTGAGCTTTCCTTTACCTTCATAGAACCTTGATTTGTCATTTTTGATGAGCTTGAGATTATCTCTAATTTTGAATTTTAACTTATGAATTGAAAAATGACTGAGTCAGTGCATTATGTATATATATGTATTAAAAAGAAGAAGAATTTTGCAATTAAAAGATTTTTTTTTATCCAAAGACAATACTTTTGTTATGGAATATGCAAGATATTATCCAAAAATCAAATTCTTATTCTTTACTTATTTGTCTGGTACACTAGCCATAATAAATATTTGAAAAGTTAATAATTATGTTAAGGTAAATATGGTATTTATGGCTTAATCATCATATTCCAAACATGAAGATTTGATTCCTAAATAAAATATTTGTATTTCATGTTTAAATGCTCTATAAAATTCTTACTATATTTATTTTATCTCAATATCTATCCATATTTTTTTTTTGGAAAGAATATATGTCTTTAACTATTATTAAAGCAGGCCAAAGACCACTATTAATATTTTCCCGTCCTAAAAAAATTTTACAAAGGTTTTTAGTTGACTCTCCTTAACTTTTTTTTTTTTTATATTTTTTATATTTTTTTTTTTACAAAACTTAACTATTTCTTTTAGTTGTTACTTTTTTTATTTAATTTAAAAAAAACATTTACCTCATTGATTTTACAATACTTATTATTTTATTTTTCTTAAAATAAATGCCAATTTTTAGTCTAAAACTAAAAAATGTTAAATTAATTTAGTCTATCATTCTTTTTTGGGTATGGCAAAGTTAATCAATGCTTGAGATTTTTTTTTTGAATATTTATACTGCCAAAATTTTAATAATTATATTTAACAAAGAATTCTTTATTACGCCCCGTTCACTTCACCTTATTTTTGTTGAACTGAAATTATTTTTACTAAAACAAAATTAGATTAGCTTAACTTAAATTATTTTTACTAAACTTAAATTAATTTTAATGAACTGAAATTATTTTTGCAGAAGTAAAATTAATTTTACTGATTTTTTATTATAATTCTTCTTTAAGATAACTGAATTTTAATGAATTGAACTTATTTTTACCGAGCTGAAATTATTTTTACTGAGCTGAAATTAATTTTACTGAACTGAACTTAATTTTATTGAACTGAAATTATTAATACTTAATACTATTATTTTAAGGTGAAGTGAACAAGACTTTAGTTGTAAATAACTTTAAAATCCAAATATTTGCTCGAAAATGATCTACTTACATATTACTAAAGTACAACTAAAAATGACACTTGGAAACATATTATTAAAAAAAAGTTCCTCAAAAATTACTCGCTTAAAATAATTAATTTTCCTCCAAAATTATTTTTACTGAAGTTAAATTAATTTTAATGAACTGAAATAATTTTTGCTGAAGAGAAATTATTTTTACTGATTTTCTATTATAATTCTTCTTTAAGATAACTGAATTTTATTGAACTGGACATATTTTTAATGAACTGAAATTATTTTTGCTGAACTGAACTTATTTTTACTGAACTGAAATTATTTTTACTTAATAATTTTTTTTTAAGGTGAAGTGAATAGGGCTTTAGTTGTAAATAACTTTAAAAATCCAAATATGTGCTCGGAAATGATCTATTTACATATTACTAAAGTAAAAATAAAAACGACACTTGGAAACTTATTATTAAAAAAATTTCCTCCAAAATTACTTGCTTAAACTAATTAATTTTTAAATAAAAATAAGATACATCTAAGTTATGACTTTTACTGGCTAATTGATGAGATTGGTGAAAAAAATGACCTCTAATGACACTTTATTTAGTAAAAATTATAATTAAAAAAAATTTCGCCAACAATATGGTAAAAATAATTAACCCTAAGTGATATATATATATATATATATATATATATATATATATATACTTGAAAATGTATAATATAATGTGTTTTTGGATTTTTTCCCCCTTAATTTTTCAACCCTTACTTTAAAGAAATGAAAAGGTTGAAATAAAATGATTAAAATATAAATTTTCGACCCTTATTAACAAAATTAAAAAAAAATGGTTGGAATAAAATTTTAAAATTCGAGATTTAGCAAGATTAATTGAAATAAATATTTGAAATTTTAATTGAATTTTTTTATGAGAAATTTTAATTTAAAAAATAGGCATTTTGTAAAGTTGTGGTGGAAAAAAAAAAGGGTTTAAATGTTGCATGAGATTTTTTTTTTTTTTTTTTTTTTTACAAAAAAAAATTTAACCAATTTATTGTTTTGTGGTCTACGTTTTTTTTTGCCAATATATGCCAAAATTACTCTTATTTACCAAATTGTCAGTATTTTTTTTTTTTTAATACTAGTTTTGTCAATTGGCTGACTTTCACTTTATAAAACCTAAAGTAAACTTTTGGTCATGACATGTTTTAACTATTTTAATGTACTTCATACTGACAGGCTCAAGTCGTATTCACCTAATAAAACCAAAATAAAACCTAAATCCACTAACTATGTAGATAGGGAAGAAGGGTCGAACCACAGGGAAACAAGTCAATTTATTCCTAAATAATTAAAAGCAATCTAAATTATCAAGTAA